TAAATAGAGCATTTCTCTATTTTTTATTATTATTATTTTTTTTTATCGTAAAACCTATCATTATTAAAATACCTAAGGATATTTTAATCTGTCAACATTCTTCCAACTACGCTGATCTTGCCATTCGGCTGGGTTTTTTTTTAAGTTATCATGTATTTGATCTTATCTCGATTTAGTTGTAAGAGGATACGCTCTACTTCCCTTATCAGTACTGTTATATCATCCCCTGAATCTTTTCTTCCCTTTCTTTACAATGCAATGTTTTTTTTTTTTTAAATCATTTTTGTGAAATCATTCTTGTTAAATTTTGAAGGACTGGGGAGAGAACATGATGCCAAATAGAACGTTTACTAATTAGTGTTCGGCTAGGCTTTTTGTCCCTAATTAATACTCGACATTTAGTAGCATTAGCATACCAAATTATTATCACGTCTGTTGTATTTTCAAAACTACTTCCAATCCGGAATTTCAAAACTAAATTTAATATTAGTTTTAAAAAATCATGAAAACAGTTTTTTATTATTCTATGTATAATATACATATATACTCCGCAAGCTTCGTCCTTACACTGCCCGAGGACATAAATCGCAACTATTTTTTTTTTTAAATAGTTTTATTTTATTTAATTCTTTATCGAGAAAGAATTAATAAACAATTTTACTATTTATCAAAATCTTATAAACAAAAAAAACAAGTGTATATTCTATCTATCTATCTATTATCTATTATATCTATTAATTTTTTTTTTGCCCTCCAAGGCGTCTGAAAAGAAGATGGCTCCATGATCTCCTAATGTAGACATATTATTAGTGTGCTACTAGTGTGTAGTTTCTCAACAAGTGTTTCATGTAATAATATTCATTGTACAAATTTAATAGATGTATTTTTTTATACAGTTATAAATATCATAATAAATAATATAATATAATAATAAAAAACATTTTTGCATCATAATGACGAGAATCAAATGACCGATCTGATTTCATGATTTTTTTTCCATTGTATAAAACTAGCGATTACACAAACAGAGCTCTAAAAGATTAACTTTGATACTTAAAAAATTATATGCTTAAAATCGAGTAGCTGTACTTAATATTTACTTTTAACATAGAAATCAACGAGTCCTGCAGAATCTTTATTCAAGGATGTTCATTTCTCATTCCCAAGAGGAATGAAAATTCGACATAATTTATCAAGAGGCTCTCTGTTAAAACCACTTTTAAATACATTTTGCTTTAAGGTTTTTAAAGTATACCATAGTTATATTATATTTAATACTTAAAAGAAATAATTAATATTACACAAAATAAAAACAGTTATTAATACGTAGTAGAGAACTGTCCTATAAATGATTAAGTCCTTTTAGTGTTTCACGGGCAACGCTATGAAGATTGCAATTATTATAACCATAAAATTCGACAAAAAGAAGACATAACCAAATTTGCTCCTTGATGTAGAAAATAATTATTCTCACAACAAAAATATTTTTAACCTTCCGCGTGACTACAAAGCTTTCGCTTTACTTTCGAAAGTAAAATCATATAAAAGTCAAACACAATGATAAAAGTCATCACCACTTCTATTAAAGAATGCAAAAAATATATGAATTATCAATGAAGTGATACTCTAAATTCGCAGATACTTTTTTCAGCGACAGTAAAAAAACAACTCATCAAGCATATAAATCATTCTCGTCCGTGATAAAAGATGCTGAAATTTGTTTTTAAATATTTAGAGATAACATATCAATAATAAATATGTTAAGTTGCAAGAAATGTTGTGAACCATCACGATCGAACCATCGACCTATTAATTCAATGAATATAACTATTAATACCATCTTAAACAAGAAAACAAAAACATTTTTGTACCTGTTACAAAGAGAAAAGTAATTATTTTCAGTAATCAGGGAATATTTCAGAAGCGAGAGAGCTCAATGACTAGAGCACTGATATTCTCCCGGGACAGGGTTCGAGAGTGGGTGTGAAATTATTTATTCTATCTAAGTAGCATTGGATCGACCATAGGGTCGGGAGATCCTCTTAGTGGCACACTCAGCCTCTATAAGGAAGATATTCTTAATTAATTAATAGATTATGATGAAAAATCTAGCGGTTGAGTTCGATTCCGACAAAATCTCAGCAAAGATTTGTCCTTTAGAAGCAGTAATAAACCCTAGATCTTTTATGGTTTATAGTGATGCTACGGATTTTTTTTATATTAATCGACAGACGTTTATTTAAGGAACAACTAGTACAAAAATTGGAAATAAAAATAACCCACAAATTACGTATAAATAATCAATATGAAATAGTAACTAATCGAAAATTAACTATAAAAATGTAATATGTGAATTTTATAGTAATGACTTATAAAAATATAACAATTCTTTTTGTAATAATTCAAGATGTTTGTTTGTATACTTCCAAATAATGCAGAAATATATTTGAATATTAAAGTACTTTGACATTAAAATGTATTTAAATGAGAATGAAAATAATATTTACATTAAGTATAATTTTTGTTTTAAATGCTTGAAAGTTATTTTTCTGAAATAGTCATTGAATATACATAAATGTCCTTCATCATTTTTTCCTCTCTTGTTCGATCAACTTGCTTCCATAATGACCTCAGGTGCAAGGTCAACTAACTGAATTATATTAAATGAAGAAAATAAAACAATCAATCGTATAAAGAAGGAAATAATTCCAGAGCTCTTGTATTCCTTGAACGGTGACCAGTCTTTTTTTATGGGATTCTAGTGTAAATGGGGTTGAACAAATTTAAGGGGGTTGCAGGAAAATATTATGATAAAAAATGTAATTTAATTGTTTTTTGTTTCTTTATAAATTGCTCATTATATCAATTTAATAATATTATATATATATTTTATACAAAATTGATTTTATATGTATGGTATTTATTTTATTGTATTAAATTGATTTTAAAAAATGATGTATTAATAAAAATTAAACATATAATATATTTATATATAGATAGATAATATATTTATTTGCTTAAATAAAATGTAGCCATAGGAAAGATATATATATATATATATAAAGAGTATAATGGAACAGATTATGACAAGTGAAAGAATTGAAAACATGTGCCTGTGGTTGTTTTCTCTTAACTCTTAACCAAAACAATTTTCTCCTTTCTCTCTATGTCTCACTTTTTTTTTTTCTTTTTTTTTCCAGTTTAACTATTACTGTGACATACATTTTATTTTCATCTAACTGAAATTATTGATTGATTGTTGATTAATTAATTAGATCAAGATAAATGATTTTTTTTAAAATAATTAAACGCACTTAAGAAAGAAGTTTTTTCAAGTTATTATTTATTGATGAGTGTCAATGGGACAATATATTAACATAGATACACCTTTAAAATTAAAACAATAATAATTAATAAACCAAATTAAAAATGAAGTAAATTAAGAAAAAAAAGATATATAAATAGAATCAAACTAGCAATATAATTCAAAGATTTTTATAGTTAATTTTTTTATTTCCAAAAAATAAGAAAAACTTGCGAGTATCTGTGGGAAAAGTTTAGTATGATATTTTACTGTATCATTAAGTACTATCTCAAGGATAAATATTTATTATTATTCATAAGAAATTGATTTAAAAAAATGAAGTATAAATAAAAATTAATTTATATGAAAACAATTATAACAAGTATGATGATTCAAAAACTTCATTTAAATCTAATTTCACTATCATACAAATAAATACCGTTCTGATATAAAATAAAATAACAGAAAAACATTGTTTCAGACTAATCAATTGGCTGTTTGTTAAATCTATACTCTTACCTTATAGCATTCGTCCGATAAGCTGAAGAGTCTGATCTGGTCATTTGCTGTGATTTTTAAATAAGCTTCATCTACTTTTAATTTTGAGAAGTCGTAGTGTTTGGTGGCATCACCTCCTGGTATCTCGAACCAAGACATTTTCTTCTGTAAATGATCATTGTAATTAACTGTTAATAATTTTGACGAGTGAGAAAAATTATATAAAATTTATTTATATCAATTTAATAATATTATATATATATTTTATACAAAATTGATTTTATATGTATGGTATTTATTTTATTGTATTAAATTGATTTTAAAAAATGATGTATTAATAAAAATTAAACATATAATATATTTATATATAGATAGATAATATATTTATTTGCTTAAATAAAATGTAGCCATAGGAAAGATATATATATATATATATAAAGAGTATAATGGAACAGATTATGACAAGTGAAAGAATTGAAAACATGTGCCTGTGGTTGTTTTCTCTTAACTCTTAACCAAAACAATTTTCTCCTTTCTCTCTATGTCTCACTTTTTTTTTTTCTTTTTTTTTCCAGTTTAACTATTACTGTGACATACATTTTATTTTCATCTAACTGAAATTATTGATTGATTGTTGATTAATTAATTAGATCAAGATAAATGATTTTTTTTAAAATAATTAAACGCACTTAAGAAAGAAGTTTTTTCAAGTTATTATTTATTGATGAGTGTCAATGGGACAATATATTAACATAGATACACCTTTAAAATTAAAACAATAATAATTAATAAACCAAATTAAAAATGAAGTAAATTAAGAAAAAAAAGATATATAAATAGAATCAAACTAGCAATATAATTCAAAGATTTTTATAGTTAATTTTTTTATTTCCAAAAAATAAGAAAAACTTGCGAGTATCTGTGGGAAAAGTTTAGTATGATATTTTACTGTATCATTAAGTACTATCTCAAGGATAAATATTTATTATTATTCATAAGAAATTGATTTAAAAAAATGAAGTATAAATAAAAATTAATTTATATGAAAACAATTATAACAAGTATGATGATTCAAAAACTTCATTTAAATCTAATTTCACTATCATACAAATAAATACCGTTCTGATATAAAATAAAATAACAGAAAAACATTGTTTCAGACTAATCAATTGGCTGTTTGTTAAATCTATACTCTTACCTTATAGCATTCGTCCGATAAGCTGAAGAGTCTGATCTGGTCATTTGCTGTGATTTTTAAATAAGCTTCATCTACTTTTAATTTTGAGAAGTCGTAGTGTTTGGTGGCATCACCTCCTGGTATCTCGAACCAAGACATTTTCTTCTGTAAATGATCATTGTAATTAACTGTTAATAATTTTGACGAGTGAGAAAAATTATATAAAATTTATTTGTTTAATTGGTGGAGATTAGGAAATAGGAAAGTGTCAAACGTCAATAAATAAAAAAATAGATGAGAAACACACCTGAGCCTATGGTCCCATCTGGTTCCTTTCACTGGCAGGCTGGGCACTGGTTAGGTATCAGAGCTTTCATATTGTCAGGGGGAGGGGAGCAGTTGTGATTGTGTAATGGCCAACTTGGAACATTTCTGCTGATGTTAATGTATATGTTTGTGCTGTTAGCAATAGGGTCGCTTCTGTTTAGTGAGCAGGTATCTCATCATTCACATTTGATTGCCGGTTTTGACTTTGATCTATGGTTCGAGACAGTTTCAACTGTTTACTTTACTGTTGGGTGCTATTTTCTTTTTGAATGTGACTGTAAAATCTGATCAATAATCTACTCCCCATCAAAAGTGTTGCAACAAGTACAAACTTCTGAAAATATTTACTTACTATTAGAACTTTTGTTTTTTAAAATTAGTTCATCAATGTAAATCAATGTAATGTTAAGTTGTTATTATAGTTTTATAATGTGTAAAATTTACTGATCTGTTCTTATTAGTTCTCAACATGGTGTCTACTCATTCAGTGTTGCATCAAATTAATAAAATAGGACATAAACTTTTTAAGATTTTATAAATTTAATGTTGTCTTTAGTGTTAATGTTGTCTTGTCCAAATGTTTCGGGCAGATGCAACATTTGGTTTATAATAGGTGGTAAATACATTAAAAAACGAGAATTCGGCAAAGCAGGATGAAGATTCCAAAAGTACCCATCTTCAAACTCTCTCAAGCAGGTAGATTTCTGTTCTCTAGATTTCTGAACTCAGACAGAACTTAGCATCCATTGTTCGATTGTTAACAATTAGGAGAAAAATAAGGGCTAATCAAATTCGAGAAACTGTGTTAAAGCTTCACTCAGAACATCTTCCGACAAGAATGAGATTTGCAAAAGAACATCATCTATGAAAACGGTAATGTCTAATGACGAGGAAAGCTCTACAATGTTGTTTCGTCCAAGTTCCTGTTTAAAAAGAGTCGTTATATTTGATTTGTGATTCGATTGGATAAAATACTTTTGATGCGGAGTTTATATAACAGTTCAATTTTTTAAATTTAAAAATCCTGCTCTAAACACCCGTTTTCAGCAAACAGAAAAAATATTGAATACATCATGTAAAATAATGGACTCCCCTCCCCCTTTTCACAGACCTTTTCGTTTCTTCTTCGTTCTCCCCATTCAAATGGCTAAGTCGGGCAATATTAGGATGAAGTCGACGGTACTCTTGAGGTCCTCCATGTCTTTTTATCTTCAATGAAGATTGCTGCTCCACCTTTTTGAGTATATGTTCAATATACATTTTTTTTTCTTGATTTACTACATGATGGATTCAAGCTTTCCTGATTTAAGATGCTAGAAATAGATTAATACAAACTTGGACGTTCGATAAGATAACTGTGGTATTATTTTCCGTTTTTTATTTTCTGTTGGGAAGGGGAATTTCATCGTTTATTCCAAGAATTTTTTTTATTATGCTTTAATTATTGTCGAATCAGTCAAAATATCTATTTCGCATTACTTTAATTTTTTTGACATTTCAAATAAGGAAGTGAAAATGTTTTTTTTTTTTTTTTTGTTTTTCAAACTTGTATGCAGTTAATTTCGAAAAAAATAAAACATATCCTGTGAATAACGCTGCGCTTCGTCTCCGATTTTATTCTTTTTTCTTCTACCTGCAGACTGTGTATTTCTCTCCAAGATATTATTTCTACTGAAATTCAAATTAATTCTTGACAAGCCAGTCCTCAGATCCGAAAGCGGCTCTGGCAGACACTCGTGAAGAGAAAGCGCTGAGTTGCAGATCTTGGTCCCCCGCGAAGAGTACTTAAGGCCGGTGTTTATTGAACTGTCACAGAGCTATAGAAAGTGAGGAGTCAATTTTTTACATTATGTCTCTCTCTTTGAATCTTCGATTCATTCTGGCGAATTTCAGAATATTTAAGATAGTAAATATTTTTATTAAATTATTTTTTTTTGTTTTTAAAAATTAAATTAAAAAATAATTATAATTGTGGATTGATGGAATAATTGAATAATTGAACTACTGAATAATTGAAGAGAAGATTGGTTGGGGTGATCAGACAAAACAAAAAAGTAAAAATAAATAATTATATTTATTTTTATTTTCGCCGACGTTTCGGTACAAAATGCAGGTCTTCATCAGGACTGGAAACGAAAGATTTCAGCAAGATCAAAGTCTTTTACATTTTTTTTTACTGATCATCCCAACCAATCTTCTCTTAAAAGAAATAATTATTTTCAACAAGAAGAAATCTTTCTCTGTTATCTCTTATAAAAATGTAAAAATATAACATTTATCATTTTGATCAAAATAAATAAAGGCTCTTTTCTACTTTAAGCACACAAGCAGTGAAGTTTTTTTCTTTTGTTTTTCGCTTCAGTGATTTTACAGTTACGAACAATGGCTTAAACATGTTACGGGAGAGAAAGAGAGAAACACTTTATTTTCATAAAATATAAAATATAAAGGATTGCTGCCCAATTATATTGGGTTGCTATATACACAGCATACTCTTCTATCCTTAAGACAATATATGAACTTATATATAAATATACAGAAGTATTAGTTAATATTAGTAAAATAGAAATATGTATATACATTTTTATTATTTTATTTATTTTTATAATTTTTTTTTTTGTTTTTTTTCCTTTTTCCTTCTTCTCATTGTTCATGCTTTTTTTTTTTTTTTTCTTATTTAGCATTAAGTTTCCCTTTCTCTCACTTCTCTCTCTTTATCGCTATTGTTTTCAATTATTCACTAACTAAATAAATAAACAAATACATAAATTAAAACTCTCGGGCTAGCCATGCACGTGGTGGTGAATGATTCCCAGGGAGTCGAGGACTATATTTTCAGCCAACCTCGCTACGTCCTTAATGTCGACACCTAGTTCCTCGAGGAAGCTCCTTGTTCTTTTTGGGATAGTTCCGCGAGACCCAAACCAGAGGCCTCTCACGGTGAACTCTCTCTCTCCGAAGGTCTCACGGAATTTCTCTTTTAGGAAAGGGATACATTTATCGTACGTGTTCTTCTTTTCCCTTTCCACTTCACCCGCCTGATCGAGGTCATTGCTCTCAAAGCGGATAATTGATTCTACTATCATCTATTTTATAAAAGTCAGGACTTCTGTCTTTCATAAAACACACTGACATTTTGTATAGTGTAGAACACCTTTTTTTGTGTGTAACTATTGATATCTGTATCATTATTACCTTCTTATTACTTCCTAAAACGGTTCTTGGCTCGAATAAATTCATTTATGCACTTGAAATAACCTTTCAACGAACCACTCGTTTCATACGTGTAACAAAACAAATAGGTTTGTAGTATCAATAATGAATCCTCAAAAAAATTCAATTGTGTGCTTAAAGTAGAAAAGAGTCCAAATAAAAAGTAATAATATGAATCAATTCTTTACATAAAATAAGATAATTATAAATATTGATTTAAAAAACACCTACGAATTCAGTCGGAGACTAATTGGAAAATCGTTAAAACAAGTTAAATTTCGAATTTTAATATTTCATACTAACGAATTGTTACAATTCTTCGGCCTATATTATAATGTTGATATTATTTCATTTTTATTAAATATGAACCTAAATTTCATCTGTTTTTTAGGGAAATACATTACAATCAAGTCACATAAAAAAAAAAGATGAAAACTTTGAAAAATATTGATATATCTTTCAAATTTAAGAAGTCTTCCATAAATGGACAGTTTTTCATTTAAAAAAAATCATTAGACGCTGACGATCGATAATGATTCATTCGAGTTATCCTTTTATCAAGCGGATTCAAATTAGGCTCAGGGCAGAGAGGGCTTTCAATTAACAATCGATTGGATCAAATCTGTTCTTGAATTGTGGCTCAATATCAAAATGATACACCTTGATATTGATAAAAATTATTTAATAAATAAATAGTTCAATTTATATTACATTAAAAACAACAATTCATTATAATCAATAAACAACCTTGAAAAGTGTTATTTTTTTCTTATCTTCTTTTTCTTGTTCTTATGTTATGTTTTATGTTCTTTCCTCATTTTATGTTTCTTGGTTGGTGTATGGCGGCTTCTGGTGTAGGAAATCTTCACTTTATAGTGGAAAGATTCACATGGCATAATGAACAGACATGTTTCCACAGACATTTTGGGAAGAAACTTGAAAGAAATTGTGCAAAATTTGGGCTAAAAATAAATTTCATTTTTATGAGGATAATCTCCCCAAAGACTCTGCTATGTTAGTTAAGGAATGCCTACTTAATAATAGCCCCAAAGGTATACAAACGCCACCACAGTCACCAGATTTTAATGTGATATAACACCTGTTGGCAAAATTGGAGATAAAAAATAGAAAACACGAAATTTATAGCAAAGAAGACTTTAAAAAATATCTCCTGGAAGAATGGAACAGGCTAAGCCCGGAATCACCATAAAATTGCTAGACTCCATTGCAAACAGAATGAATGGAGTACTAGAAAATAATGGCTTGCTTACAAGGTACTGAACTAAATTAATATTATTTAAAAGTTAACAAGAAGTGAGGTGTATCATTTTGACTGTGAGGTAAAATTATCCAGTTTTATGTTTTTATTAATTTTTCTAAATAATCACAGTTATATATTTTAATTTTATTGAGTTTGTACATATTTAAAATGAGATTATAAAGAAATCTGATGAATAGTTTCTGGTTTTATTTGTTCACTGTAACCATTTAAGCCTTTTTTTCTATTTTTCTACGGGGTATATCAATTTCACTGTGAGACATTGTATATAAGATATATTCAATCTTTAGGATCCTCATAAACATGAGATAGGCAGGGATGAGCACAATACACACTACAGATAAAGTAAAATGATGGGCAGACCAAGGACCGCTGAATGCTGTTGTCGTACCATTAAAGAAGAAGATGAAGAAGGACCCTCTTAAATGTCTAAGAAAAGAACTACCTCAATTGTTTCTTTCGTTTACTAGGAAAGATTTGAAGGAAAAAGGAGGTTCAGGACATTTTTTTTTTTTTCTATCGTC